GTGGGTGTGGAAGTTGAGTAGCCTGAAGAGAAGACGGTGGGAGCTTGGGGAGATCAAGAGTCACTTCTAGGACAGGGATAGTAGGCTGTTTGTGGCATGGGAATGTGCAGAATAAATAAATAAAAGGGAATGGCTTCTCAGCTGTGTGAGTTTAAAATTCATGGTATTTACAAATTGTCAGAAAAGGTGTTACATGCTCATTGTAGAACAATCACTTTGGAATGTTAATCCTGTTCTGCACCAAAATCTGAATTATTTGGGGTTCTCCAGAGAAAAAGAACTAAAAGGTGGTACACATATACGTATATATATCCATACACTTCCATACATACACTGCATATACATGCATGCGCACACACATACACACACACACACACAGGAAGAGATTTATATACATGTATATGAGAGAGAGAGAGAGAGAGAGAGAGAGAGAGAGAGACAGAGAGTAGAGATTTCAAGGAATTGACTCACATTATTGGGAGGAGAAGCAAGTCCTAAATCTTCAGAGCAGGCCACCAGGCTGGAGACCCAGGGAAGAGTTGATGTCTTAGTCTTGAGTTCAAGGGCAGACTGTAGGCAGAATTCTTTTTTTCTTTAGGGGACCTCTGAGGCTTTTTCTCTTAAGGCCTTCAACTATCTGGATTAGGTCCATCACTGTGGAGCATAATCTGCTTTACTCAAGGTCTACTGATGTTTTTGTAAATTAAAAAAAGTAGGGGCTGGGAGCTGTGGCTCAGGCTTGTAATCTCAGCATTTTGGGAGGCCAAGGCGGGCAGATCACAATGTCAGGAGATCGAGACCATCCTGGCCAACATAGTGAAACCCCATCTCTACTGAAATACAAAAAAGTAGCCAGGCATGGTGGTGTGCGCCTGTAGTCTCAGTTACTCAGGAGGTTAAGGTAGGGGAATTGCTTGAACCCAACCCAAGATCATGCCACTGCACTCCAGCCTGGCAACAAAGAGAGACTCGGTCTCAAAAAAAAAAAGTTGTGGGTGCATAGTACGTGTATATATTTATGGGGTACATGAGATGTTCTGATTCAGGCATGCAATGTGAAATAAGCACATCATAGAGAAGGAGGTATCCATCCCCTCAAGCATTTATCCTTTGTGTTACAGACAATCCAATTATACTCTTCTGGTTATTTAAAAGTGTACAATTAAATTATGATTATTATTTTTATGAGATGGAGTCTTGGTCTGTCAGCCAAGCTGGAGTGCAGTGGTATGATCTTGGCTCACTGCAACCTCCGCCTGTCAGGTTCAAGGAATTCTCCTGCCTCACCCTTTGGAGTAGCTGGGATTACAGGTGTGCACTGCCATACCTGGCTAACTTATGTATTTTCAGTAGAGATGGGGTTTCACCATGTTAACCAGACTGGTCTTGAACTCCTGGCCCCTGGTGATCCACCCACCTCAGCCTCCCAGAGTTCTGGAATTACAGGCGTGAGCCATGGCACCTGGCCCCAATTAAATTATTATTGACTAGAGTCACCCCGTTGTGTTATCAAATAGTAAGTCTTATTCCTTTTTTTTTTTGGAGACAGAATTGCCCAGGCTGGAGTGCAGTGGTGCAATTTTGGCTCACTACAACCTCTGCCTCTGGGGTTCAAGCAATTCTCCTGCCTCAACCTTTCGAGTTGCTGGGACTACAGGTGTGCACCACCATGCCTGGCTAATTTGTGTGTTTTTAGTACAGACGAGATTTTACCATGTTGGCCAGACTAGTCTTGAACTCCTGGCTTCAAGTGATCCACCTGCCTCAACCTCCCAAAGTGCTGGAATTGCAGGCGTGAGCCACCACACCTGGCCCCAATTAATTATTATTGACTAGAGTCACCTTGTTGTGCTATCAAATAGTAGGCCTTTTTTTCTTTTTTTAACGTGAAGAAATAGGAACACTTTTACACTGTTGGTGGGAGTGTAAAATAGTAGGTCTTATTCCTTCTTTCTATTTCTTTGTACCCATTAACCATCCTTCTAATTTCCCCCCACCGCTACCACTATCATTCCCAGCCTTTAGTAACCATCCTACTCTCTATGTCCGTGAATTCAGTTGTAAGGTCTACTGATTTAAACCCTAATTACATTTAGAAACTCATGAGCCAGAATAATTTTAGTAACTGAACTAGGAATCTGCCATATGACCTCCAACATTATTAGCATCTGTGTAAATTGTATCATAAAATAATTGTGGAACTATTATGGAAATGTCCCCATCTCTCAGCTCCCACCTTGTACCAAAATGCAAGGTACAACCCTGGGAATTCTGA